CAATGAACGTACTGTACTTCTGTTCCTCACGGTCACGGCCTCAATTTTATTCCTGTCAAAAATGAAATATGGTGCTGCCCTGACTAAGGTCTATTGAGGGAAGGCATTCTCATTAGAGAGAATGTGATCTGATTAGACAAACAATTGGACACGGCCCTGCCATGAGGCATCAATATTTTGATCAGTTTTCCTGGAGAAACTGTCAATTTTAAATGTGTACATCTGCTAAAAGATCATTTTGCCAATGTTTAGGAGTATGCTATTGACATGACACACAGGTCAGAAAAGCCACAAAACTGGAGTTTTGATTTCATATTTTAAAGGTAAATGACTCTCGAGTTCAAGAAAGGCCTTTTATTTATCTTCTTCATGAATATTTTTGCTCATGAAAGAAAATGGTTATGTATGTCATAGAGTTAAAGGGGTCATATGATGCTTTTTTAAAGATCATTATTTTGTGTATTTGGTGTAACAGAATATGTTGACATGCTTTAATGTTCAAAAAACACACTATTTTTCAAATACTGTACATTATTGTAGGTCCTCTATGCCCCGCCTCTCTCAAACGCTTCGTTTTCTACAAAGCCCCCTCCTTAGAGCGATTAGACAGCATTTTTTAAATTTTTGTTTTGATGTCAAATAAGTCTTGCTGTTTTGCTTTTTTGTTAAAGGGGTCATATGATGCTTTTTTTAAGATCATTATTTTGTGTATTTGGTGTAACAGAATATGTTGACATGCTTTAATGTTCAAAAAACACATTATTTTTCAAATACTGTACATTATTGTAGGTCCTCTATGCCCCGCCTCTCTCAAACGCTTCGTTTTCTACAAAGTCCCTCCTTCTGACAAGCGCAGTCTGCTCTGATTGGCCAGCTGACCCAGTGCATTGTGATTGGCCGAACACCGCAAGCACTTGTCGGAAATGTAACGCCCCTTACCATAATCGTGAGCTTCATTTTTCAAAATAAATGTAAAGACAGAGCCCGAAAGGGGAACAGAGTCGTGTGACAGACACAGTGATGAAGCTGGTATGTGTTTGCAGTACACAAGCCACGGTTAAGACAGCTGACTCCACTGTGATGTGTCTCGCACTCTCTCTCTCTCTCTCTCTCTTTCTCTCTCGCTTGCTTGCTCGCACACACACACACACACACACGATGCGCAAAACTCCGCATTTGAACAGTCAATAGCAAATACTTAAACTAATTACAAAACAGTAGCTGAGTCAGAAGCGCCAGATTGTCATAGCAAAGTCAGAATTACCTCCTCTCCTAGGTTCACGAAACGGTCGTCCATAAAATGCATTGCTGTTCTGTTGTAAGTAATCTTAAAGATTCCAAAATGCATCTACTTTCGGAAGGCCAAATAAAGTGCTTTTGCTTTCGCCTAGAAACACACAGCGTCTCCCTAACATGGTTGCTTCAACACTAACTGCGGTTACTGAAACCATGCCTTCTTTCTTTGCGTGCACATTTGGGCAGCATTATGCAAATATTTCCACATAGTGAGGTAGATATGTGGGGGCGTGTTAGAACGAGCCGTTTTAGGGGGGCGTGGCAGAGTCTTAACTTTGATAAAGAATATCTCTTTGGTTTTGAGACTTTAGTCTTTGCAACTTCAGGGATCTTATCTATGCACGAACAGCTTGCAACACTCCAAAGAGAAAGGAAAACTTGAAATCGCATCATATGACCCCTTTAAGTAAATTAAAGCATCTGTGATAATATACAGTATAAAAACGAAACTGACCATAATGCATGGATTTGAACTGATCCCTGGGAGGTAAGGGTGGTTTCTCATTCTCAAGGTCTTTGTGATGAACTTGGTTGCTCCTGTAATGAAAAAAAGTCATTTATTTTAGAGTGTGGCACATTTTTGTGTAATAAACATCTAGTCTTAAGTGAGCCTGACAGACTTACTGCTTTTTAAAATTTGTGTCATTGTAATGATTTGGTCTTGCTTGTGTACTGTACCAAGCAGCTAGAAAAAGAGGAAACAAAGATTGAAGGATTGAAATGACAAAAGTTAAATAAAATTAATCAAACAAAAGTGGTATACAACATTCAAACTGCTATAATAATGACTAGACCAATGGCCACAAAGCCTATTTTTCAGTATGGTTTTAGTCCAGTTATGCGAAATGACACAGAAGGTTGTTTTCTGCAGCTGAATGTCAGTTTCAAACATTTAGTTCAAAACCCTTTTAAATTATAATCATATTTGGGAATTCCTTGATATTTATTTATTCATTTTTTTTACAATAGCTGTAAACATGGAGTTAATGGGCGTTAAATGTTTACACTAATGTTAAATGTGTAAATTTATAATGTTTATGTATTTTCACTGTAAATTATACAATTACTTTTTCTTTTTCACTTCCAAAAACCGTAATTTTAACAGTATTTTACTGTAAAATTACATTAAATGTAATTACAGCTATTCCCCGTATATAGTATGGAAAGTTACTGATAACCAATTAACAGGTTTTTACTGTAGCATTTTTACAGTCTTTTACTGTTAAAATCACAATAATTTTTTACAGTGTATTGTTGCTCTTTTGTTAGTTTTGACTGCTTGTATTGTCCTCATTTGTACGTCGCTTTGGATAAAAGCGTCTGCTAAATGACTAAATGTAAATGTAAATGAACTACAACTTTTTCCTGGGCAATAGTATTGGAAGTATTAATTAAATTGACCACAGTAAAAAGTGTGATAATTAACCATGTTGAACACAATTTCTGTATAGTTTTTTCCAGATGTATTTTACCTCTTTTACTGATGCAAACATTGATGATTATGAAAATCATTACTATCACCAGAGACACCAGAATGATGGCCAGAAGTAATGCTGTCCAGAAGTACTGACGTAAAAACTCCATCTGGGAAATGAAACACAGAAAATGTTCAGATTCTATGATATATCACTATTAGATAAGGATATTTAGTTAATAACATACTTGAAACTCCTGCTACTTCTTCTTTTCAGCACTGTTCAGTCACATGCTTGAAGTTTCTTATTTTCCAGTCAGCTGTGTTTCCTGGGTGGAGAATGTTAACCTATGTTTGGATATACTTTTTTTTGTAAGTTTAATATGCTTCTAAAAGCTACTTGTAATGCTAGAAAACGAATCCATATGTGGGAATGAATACAGTCATTTTTCATTTGTAATATTTCAGATTTATCTCTGTAGCAATGTCTCTATCATGCTCATAGCACTCATCCTGCAAGAGACCAAGCTTTACATGATTAGCTGACTTCCTGCGTCATTCTTTTATCAGCACTGGCTTATACAATGCGACCTAATGCATCTCATTCCATTGACCTTTTTAGTTTTGAAATTCATTTATTTTAATAGCTCAGTATTTTAATCATTTTAATAATGTACAATATTTTCACAAGCAGAATTAGAGAGTAGACCGTTATTCATAAATTGAATCGTTCAGTGCAGACTCACACAATCCAAAACAATTAATAAAGGAAATAAAGTACAGCGATATTGTGTACTGTAAAGGAAATATAGTAGATCACATACTCAATGGATTTCAGATCTTAGACTGGTTTTAACAATATCAAGCTTAAATAACCAATACATTACTGTAATTATGTGATTCTGTATTCTAAATCACACTGGAATTGCTATTAATTTATAATCTTGTTTAATTTTTCATAATAAAAACTCAACAGTTTTATAATGGCTGTTCAGATGTGTTAGTGAAAATAAAAAAAATGGGATGAAACATAATTACCTTTGTCTTCAGTATAGATCACATCAGCCTTGCACATGATCTGGAAAATGGCAGTTATAGAAGTGTCACAAACATCTGGGAATTTTAAATAAATGATTCAATTCTTCAGAACTTGCAGCCTCTCTCCGCCCAGCCGTCTTTCCACATAAGCTGTAGGTCTGTGTGACTCAGACGTGTGTTGTCAGTCAATTATACATGTGTGGTTTTTTTTAGTAAGCAGTGGAGAGTTGAACTCGAAAGAGAGACTGAAGGATGGTGTAAAACTTCTGCTATTTTGCAGAGAGCTGAATCCAGACATGCAATTCGCTGTCATCACAAAAAGGGACATGTCTACAGTGGGTGTGGCCTCAGGGATTTATTTGTTTATTTATTTATTGTGGTATAGTGGGTGTGGCCGCTAAAAGTTTTAGTGAATTATTCATGAGTTTATTTATTTATTTATTATGGTCAACGTAAGCCGTAGGACTCTGCATCTCAGAAGTATATTGTTAGTTGTGAATCGACTGTGTTTTTTAGTGTGCTGTGGGGAGTTGAACTCAAGAGAGAGACAGAGAGATGGTGCTATTCTGCAAATAACTGAATCAGTCTCATGTTTGGTAGCAGTCATGGTCTCTTCTTTATTAAACAAAGTCCTAACACTTAGGAATACACGTGAACACAAAGCAAGTTTTAGTAATTTGTTCCTTGCGACTGATCGATCAATTGATTATTTATTTATTTATTGTGGTGTAGTGGGTATTCTGGCTGTACATTCAGCATTTTTATTTGTATTTTTTAATTTGCTGATTGGTTTATTATGGTATAGTGGATGATGTACATTCAGTGAATTATTCATTCATTAATTAATTTGTTTATTTATTTACTGTGGTATGTTTGATTGTTTTTGTTGCTTGCTTGGTTGTGCATAATTGTAGTATAGTGCCATGGACAAATCGCTGATCTTTTTGTTTATTTATTTATTTATTTATTCTTGTGGTGTAGTGGGTTTCATCTGAATATTCAGTGAATTATTCATTAATTTATTTATTAAAACTGATATATTAATAAATGAATAATAAACAAGACACATATACAGTACAAACAGTACAAATAAAATTGCATTTATAAAATAAATAAATATAGATAACGCAGACATAATGTCAAATTCATTAAGCAAAGTCTTTCTGTGTTGTTTATTAATCATGAATTTATCAGTTACTGAAGGCAGCTCCGCCTATTCGGTGCGCGCATGCGCAGTGCGTGTTACTTCTACAATGACGTTGCTCAGTCTCCGGTAGCCTGGTCTGCTGGGCGCTCCTCTCTTTCCTTCAGTGAGCCGCTTTTCTAAACTCAGCTCCGGGAAACCATGGCCGAGCAGGCCTCGGGATCCACCCAGCCGCCTCAACATGACGGTAAGCGTCTTTCACCACAAGGAGAAGTTTATCGTGCTGATTTAGCTGTGCTCGTTGTAGGCCTGCGGCCTGTTCGTGCACGGATTAGCAAGCAACAGTCAACCGGCTGACAACAAGCTTTGCCTATTTATGAAAACACTCATATGATGCTTTCATGCTTGCTATGTGTCGATGCTTCTGAGAGAACGCTTCTTGCACCAAGCACTGGCTCTGCTGGTCTACAGGTAACGTTACACAAAAGCGTGTTTATATGGTCAACATGATGATGTTGCACCAGCAGATGACAGCTGGACTGACAGTGTTTTAGAGTATCAGGACAGACGGGTTTGCTTTTATATATTTCAAGTCATTGATTATCATGTCTGCTTGTTCTTGTTTGTAATGTTGTTCAGATGATGGCGTCATTCGCATGCATCTATATTTATACAGTGTTTTGATGTACATATTGATTTTAGCCATGCATTGATGTAATTTATATGCCACATAAGCACTATGGCATGCACTAACAAAAAGTGCTATTTTTGTGTGTGTGTGTGTGTGTGTGTGTGAAATACTTGTAAAGGTCTTATTGTACCTTTATAATACTATGGTAAATGTTGCAAGTCTACTCTAAACATTTTAAGCACAATATGAGCAATATTAAAGACCCAGTTTGTGATTGGATGTACCGATAGTGGATTAAAAAGAAAAAAAAAGTTCTGTCATGTCATATATCTTCTTTGTCTTTTGTGTACTGTAGATAGTAAATACGCTCCTGCAGTGCATTAAAGGAATAGTTCACCTAAAAATGAAAATTTGCTGAAACTTCACTCACCTTCAGGCCAGACGATGTAGATCAGTTTCTTTCATCATCTGAACATATTTGGAGAAATTGAGCGTTACATCAGTTGCTCACCATTGGATCCTCTGCAGTGAATGGGTGACGCCAGAATAAGGGTTGTGGATTATTGTGATGTTTTTAATCCAAAAGTAATCCACACAACTCCAGTCCAAAAGCTGTGTATTTGTAAGAAACAAATCCAAAGACTTTTTATTTTTATTTTTTATAACTTTAAACAGTTGCTTCTGGACAAAATACATAATAATCCATAGTCCATAATACATAATAATGCCTCCTTCAGTGAAAAAGTCCATCCAGTGTTGCCCTCTTATATCAAAATCCATCCACATATTTGTTTAGGACTGTTTTAGCTAAGCAGTGCTTGATCTGCGTTAATTTCTCTCCTGATTCAGACAAGACTGCTTTTTCACTGGAGAAAACAATATTATAGAGGACTTATATTTTAGCCATAAGCAATGATTTGAAGTTAAAATGTCTTATTGATGGATTTTTTTAAAATTACAAACACCCGGTTTTTTTCTACTAGAATTTAGTTGTTGTCCTGGAGTTTTGTGGATTATTGTGATGTTTTTATCAGCTCTTTGAACTCTCTTTCTGACGGCACCCATTCACTGCAGAGGATCCATTGGTGAGCAAGTGATGTAAATTAATGCTACATTTCTCCAAATCCGTTACAACGAAGAATCAAATTCATCTACATTTGAGATGGCCTGATGATGAGCAAATTTTCTTTTTTTATTTGTGTGAAGTATTCCTTTAATACTGTCAGGTATGACACTGGATATAATATATTATGATATTTAATGGAAACAATTATTTTCAATTAAGTCTGCTCTATGCACATGCACATGCTGTTGAGCTACATTTTTGGTGTAGGTTAAGTACAGATAAATAGCCATCTGTCATCCCTGAAGGCCTGTGGTTGCTGTGGGTGTAGTTGTCTTTTACAGATCTGACAGACACTTGCTGCACTTTGTACTGCATATTTGTTTGTACAAACGTATTTAGGCCTAATTAAAGTAAAAAACCAACAATAGAGATGTATGTTCTGTCCTGACATATTCTGGGTTGACTGACCTATGTATTCAAATGAATCTGGCTTTTAATCAAGCTGAAGCTTTATTCACATCATCTGTGGCTCTGATTAAATCAAGCATCTGTGCTACAGCAGTAAAAAGAACAAAACATAATTTCATTCATATAGTCATTTCTATTATTATATTATTATATAAAT